CCAGGCCTTGGGGGTCCCATGGAGCTGCAATGGGGGTGGGGGGGCGAGGGCGTCCCGTGCCTCAGTTTCCCCATCGGCGTTGACTCCATCGGGCCCCCCCGTCCCTACATCTGTCCCGCCGTCCGTCTGCTCCGCCATCGCCATCCGTCCGTCCGTCTGTCCCCCCGACGCACCCCCCCACCCCAACTCCCATCCCTGACACCCCCAAACCCCCCCCCCGGTGCTGTGGGGGGACCCGGGGGTGGCAGCTCGGTGGGGGGGTGACAGGTAGCGGCATTAACCCCTCGCCTGCCACGCACCTGGGGGGGTGGCCCTGCATGTGGCACGAGGGAAACTGAGGCAGGAGGGGGGACACACACACACATTGAGCTGCTGCCTCTGTCCTGCCTCAGTTTCCCCTTCCCGTGGTGCCCGGGGGGTGCTGGGGGGCACAGGCAGTGTCCTCGTGCCACGCCATGTATCTGTGCTTGTGTCACGCTGGGTGCTTGTGCCACGCCACGTCCTCGTGCCCCACACGCGCTGGTGCCCGCCGTGGCCTCGTGCGCCATGTCCGTCACATCCTCGTGCCCATCATGTGCCACGCCGTGTCCTGGTGCCACACCGTGTCCTGATGTCACGCCATGTCCTGGTGCCCATCGTGTCCCTCTACCACGCCACGTTCTTGTGCTACGCTGCATCCTTGTGCCCCACACGTGCTGGTGCCTGCTGTGGTCTCCTGCACGACGTCCATCGCATCCTCGTGTCCATCATGTGTCATGCCACATCCTGGTGCCACACCGTGTCCTGGTGCCACGTCATGTCCTGGTGCCCATCGTGTCCTGGTGCCCATGCCATGTCCTCGTGCCATGTTGCATCCTCGTGCCTGACACGTTCTCGTGCGCCATGTCCACCACATCCTCGTGTGCCACGCCATGTCCCAGAATCCATCGTGTCCTTGTGCCGTGCCGTCTCTTCCTGCCACGCCGCATCCTGGTGCCCTCGGCGTCCTCGTGCCATCGCCACGTCCTGGCACCCATCACCACCCGAGGCCCTTGGCGTCCTGGTTGCCCGTCGTGTCCCCCGTGCCACGCCACCTTCCTCCAGCCACGCGTCACCCTCGTGCCCACTGTGGCCTCGTGTCCACCCTGTCCTCGTGCCGGCGGCCAGCGGCGCCCCGTGGCACCACGTCACGTCACGTCACCGCATCCCTCCCGCCACCCCCGCCGGGCTCGGTGCGGTGCCGTTGCTTGGTGACGGTTGGTTGGTGACCGCCCACGCAGAATGCTGCCGGCGGCGCTGCCGCAGGGCTGGGGGCGGCCGTGCCCCTCCCCGGGATGGGGTGCCGGGGGGTGCCGGGGGGTGCCGGGGGTACCCGGGCACCATCTCACCCCTCTCCTCCCCGCAGAGGCCTTGGTGAACAGCCAGGAATGGACCTTGGGCCGCTCCGTCCCCGAGATCCGGCTGGTGGGTACCGTGTCCCTGCCCCATGTGTGTCCCCCCACGGCCCTGTCCTCGGCCACTCTGACACCCCCTCTGTCCCCTCCCCAGGGCGTCCTGGGCAGCAGCAAGAGCGGGAAGTCGGCGCTTGTCCACCGCTTCCTCACCGGCTCCTACGTGGGCCTGGAGCCCACCGAGAGTGAGTGGCCATGGGGCTTGGCATGGCCATGGGGATGGGCATGGCCACAGGGATGGACGTGACCATGGGGATGGCCATGGGGTTGGACATGGCCATGGGGTTTGGCATGGCCATGGGCCTGAGCTTGCCCATGGGATGGATGGCCATGGCCATGGCACCGGACATGGCCATGGGAACGGACAAGCCATAGGGTTGGCCATGGCCATGGGGATGGCCATGGCCATGGGCCTGAGCTGGGCCATGGGATGGAGAAGCCATAGGGCTGGCCATGGCCATGGGGATGGCCATGGTCATGGGGATGAACAAGCCATAGGGTTGGGCATGGTTGTGAGGTGGACAAGACCATAGAGTTGGGCATGGCCATGGGCTGGACAAGGTCATGGTGCTGGGCAAGGCCATGGGGACAGACCAGGCTGTGGGGACAGACCAGGCCATGGTGCTGAGCCTGGCCGTTGGGTGGACAAAGCCATGGAGATTGACAAGGTCATGGCGCTTGACATGACCACGGGGGTGAACAAAGTCTTGGGGACAGTCAAGGCCATGGGGCGGACAAGACCACGGTGCTCGGCGTGGCCATGGGGTGTTCAAGGTCATGGGTCCAGGTAAACCCCAGGGCTCCCCCCTCTTCTCCCCCCGCCTCCAGGTGGTCAGTTCAAGCGCGAGGTGATGGTCGACGGCCAGAGCCACCTCCTGCTCATCCGGGAGGAAGGAGGTCCCCCAGACGCCAAGGTATGTGGGGGCTGGGGGCCAGAGGCGGGGGGGCCGTGCTGGCCAGTGCCGAGCCCTGACCCCCCATCCGCGTCCCCCCCAGTTTGCCAGCTGGGCAGACGCCGTCATCTTCGTCTTCAGCCTGGAGAACGAGAGCAGCTTCGAGGAGGTGACGCAGCTCCACGCCCTGCTCAGCGGCTACCGGGGCACCAGCGAGGTGGCCCTGGCCCTGGTGGGCACCCAGGGTGAGCTGGGGACGTGGGACCAGCCCTTCTGTGGGGGACAGGGAGGGGAGGACCCCCACCTCACCACCCTGCTCCCCCCAGACAAGATCAGCTCCTCCAACCCCCGGGTGATCGAGGACGCCCGGGCCCAGGCGCTCTGCGGGGACATGAAGAGGTGCCTCTACTACGAGACCTGTGCCACCTACGGCCTCAACGTCGACCGGGTCTTCACTGAGGGTGGGTGTCGCGGGGGCTGGGCTCTGCTGGCACGGCCGGTGGTGGCCACAGAGGGTGCTGGTGGCGGGGTGGGGGCTGGGGCCAGTGAGAGGGGTGGGCTGGGGGATGGCGAGCCAGCAGGACGGGGACTGTGGCCAGTGGGGG